GGAGAAGAGTAGGAGGAAGAGGAGGAGGTTGAGGAAGAAGAAGAAGAAGAAGAAGAAGAAGACCAAACCTTCACAGTAGGGGGCGCAATGGACTCGTCAGTTGGGGGGGGGCCAACGACGCGGCTACCAAGCGATGGCGCGGCTGGCTGGCGGGCGGCCGACGACGACGCTCTCCAGCTACGGGACGACGACGACGACGCTCTCCAACACCGGGGGGGCGGGGGGCGGGGGGAGCCGACGACGACGGCTTTCCTTCCGATGCGTCGAGCGGGGTGAGCGGGGTTGAACAACCAAATCGTTTTCCCCCGCTCACCCCCCAACACTTCCCGCATCCAAGTTTGAAAACAGCGGCCGATCTGCGACGATCGATGGCCAAGATTGGCCGCTTTCCGAACAAGGAAAGGCAGGGCCTGCAGGACCCGGTTTCCAAAATGCGGGTAACGGCCTGCCCCCACGGCGCCTGAAAAATACAACCCTGCCGCCGAAATTTATTTTGAGGCCCCAGCAAAAATGCGCTGGGGGCAACTGGGAGGGAACCGGCCTGGGGCACCGGCCGGTCGAACCGGGAGGACACCGGTCGGGGGAGGGCTCCCCGGTCCACCCGGGGACCAGCCCTCGTTTCATAATATAATGCAACTTTTCACATAATTGTTTTGTTGGTCTTTATGACAATCAATTGGTTATGGACTTTCGGAAGTTTCGGTAGCTCACATGAATTCTGTCACTGTTGGCATGTTTAGTTGGGCGGCCGTTAGGCCACCACTCTTATTGTACAGAGACGCACGTGGCCGTTTTTCCCATAGGGCGTGATACTCAACACATGTAGGTTTGAATGCTGGTCATAGGAATATCTGAAAAGTTGAAAAAAACTCTTCACCCATATTTTACCACTCTCCGAAATTTTTCCTACTGAAGATGGATTTTACCGCTCTCACCCATATTTTACTGCTCTCCCAGGTTGTTCAGAAAGACATGTTTTTTAATCTCTAAATTAAAAAGGACAAGGGAGTGGTGCACGCATAAATTACAGCGCAGTGAGCATTCAAGTGCAGCTGATGGTGGAATTCCTAATCTGAAAAGAATCAATCTGGTGCTCATCGTGTCTGGCAGATCACTCTCGGAGATGACATTCCCCCATCTGATATTTGCAGGAGATGGCAGGAATTTCTCAGCAGATCATTCTCTACGTGAAGCTTCACATGCTGAATATCAAGATGTGCTGCATCGCGCTTGTGCGTCGCATTCTGCACAGCGCATGCAGCACGCGCACGTGATGCCCCGCACTGCAAAAACAGGGGTTCCAAAACAAAAAAAAGTCGGGAAGACAAAAAGGGCCCACCCCCCCCCACCAGTAGAAAATCCAAAAACCACCAGGCAAAATCCTTGTCAGGGAGCGGGGTCTTCACATCGGTATAGGGCCTCGCTATACTGCTCGCCACATGCACAAAAGACAAAACATGGCCTCGCTTCCATGTTCTAGAAAATGATTCCTTCTCATTTGCGCATTCGAACAGTAGTGGAGCGAGAACCGTACACTGTCCAAGTCCAACGGACAGCTGAATGTATGCAAGCTTCCATTTGGGGTTGCATAGCTGAATGTATGTAAGCTTCCTTTTGGGGTTGGATACAGTCATAGTGAGGATGCATCCTACTTGTTGGAGCGGGCTGAACCCTTCCGTCTGGTCATCCCTTAAACATGGAACCAGTCACAGCGAACGCCTCCTGCAGAAGTATGACATATCTGACATGATTCATTTCCAGATATGGACACTTCCAGAAAAGGACGTTTCTGGCATCAGAGAAAAGAAGAGCCGTTAGTGAGTGCACACTCACACTACCTGTATGTATCCGGGTGCATTTGAACCACCAGTACTTGGCCTAGCCATCGGCCGCGGCCCTTCCCCATTAACGCCCCGCAGCATTTGAGCTGGAGGCCCCAGCCAAAAAGAAAACATAAGCTCCTGCTGGGTTTAAGGGACGATGTAGACGTACACGACCGCGAATAGGTCCACAAACACAGGTACTGAAGTCCTAGTGTGAGTACAACCTGTCACACTAGGACTTCATTACAACGGGCCAGAAATAAGCCCAGATACATTTACGCATCGGGCCGGAAATAAGCCCAGATACATTTACGATATATCTACGATAGTGTGCAAGCGCCTTCAGTAAGGGCTCGTTTTTTCTCTGATGAGGGTGCATTATGTTCTGCAACGTCTCTCTCTCTCTCTCTCTCTCTCTCTCTCTCTCTCTCTCTCACACACACACACACACACATACACAATACACATCTAGATGTGTATAAGAGACAGCACACACACACACACACACACACACACAAGAAAAGAAAAAGAAAGCAAACACGCAGAGACACACATGGGCACGATTCTCACGCGCATGCGGGACTCAGGTGCGGTGCGCTGCGGTGTGCGCGCACCGGAGGATCGCGCACAGCGGATAACACCCCGCACCGCCTCGCACACCGCACCTGCACGCCGTGGGTATGGGTTAAGCATTTAAAGACAGGTGATCTGGCTTCAGGTGGACTGGCATCAGCACTAAGCATGTCACAGATAAAGCAAACAGAAGCAGATTACTTTCCTTCGCCAGATAGCTATTCTTTCCTTGAGAATAGCTATCCTCTGCTCAAGTAATGACTAAGGCTATTTTTTCCTTGAGAATGGCTATTCTTTTCTCTTGCCAGATAGTTATTCTTTCCTTACAACCGCTTTTCTTTTCTCAAGTAATGACTGGGTAAGGCTATTCTTTCCTTGAGAACGGCTATTCTTTCTCTTGTCAGATAGACACTCTTTCCTTGAGAATGGCTACTCTCTCTCTTGCCAGATAGCTATGATTTCCCTTGCCGGATAGCGATTCTTTCCCTTGCCTTATAGCTAGGGCTATTCTTTCCTTGGGAATGGTTATTCTATCTCTTGCCAGATATTCATTCTTTCCTTGACAATGGCTATTTTTTTTCTTGCCAGATTCTTCCCTTTGCCGGATAGCTCTTCTTTCCCTTCCCGAACACCGATTCTCTCCCTCGCCCGATAGCTTTTCTTCCTTTACAATGACTATCTCTGTTTCTCAAGTAATGATTAGTAGGACTATTCTTTCTCATGCCACATAGCTATTCTTCCGCTTGCCAGATAGCTATTCTTTCTTTGGCCAGGTAGCTATTCTTTCCCTTGTCAGATAGCCATTCTTTCCTTGAGAATGGCTACTCTCTCTATTGCCAGACGGCTGGCTATTCTTTCCCGTGCCAAAACGGCTATTATTTCACTCGTTCGATATCATTTGTCAGACATCTGTTATTTCCCTTGCCAGGCAGATAGCCATTCTTTCCTTGACAATGGCTACTCTCTCTATTGCCTGACGGCTGGCTATTCTTTCCCGTGCCAAAATGGCTATTATTATTTCACTCGTTCGATATCATTTGTCAGACATCTGTTATTTTCCCTTGCCAGGCAGCTATTCTTTCCTTGAGTAATGGCTAATAGAACTGTACCTGCTGGCCCGACAAGGGATCGCTTGAGTTAGACTGCAGCTGAAGGCCCAACCAGTCATAAACTCCAATGCCAACAGAACACTACTACAATTTCCCGAGGACAAGAGGGTGTGTTACATCTTCGACGCCACACGGGTCCTACCGGACCCGACTTAGGGCTAGAGGGACACATCAGGGCCTAAAGGCCCGACCTTGGGGTACTACAGGCCATAAAGGCCTCACCTTGGACCAGACCCGACGGGCAGGCCCAAGCGACATTACCGTTTGGGCCTGGCAGCGCTTTTGAGGCTGCCGCCCGCCGGTTGGGGCTGAACCGTCCATCTGGACGGTTCAGGGCACAGCCAGGCCTCGCAGCAGTGAGGCCGGCCTCTGCCCACCGGTATAAAGAACCGGTCCGGCCTCACTCAGGGGATCGACCCACCGGTATACCACGGTGCGGTAAGGTCGGCACCAGAGTGCCGTTGGAGCGCTATGTTTAGCGCAGGAGCGAGGAGCAGGCAGCGCAGCGATTAGCGCAGCAGCAGCGAGCGCAGCAGCAGCGAGCGCAGCAGCAGCAGCGGCGACTGGGTTACCGGCGGCCATAGCCGCCTGAGGTATCGGGAGTTGGAGGTCTCTCCTCCCTCCCATCGCCAGTCCCCTCTCTCTCCCTCTCCTCCTCAGCTCCCTCCTTCTTCTTCTTCAGATTGGATACTTATACTAGTTGGACAGAGATCAGAGTTGGACTTCGGTGATATGAGACTGTGGTACTTACCTGATTGGAGACTTGGAGATTGTTGGGGTTGATACTCGGCTGCACCGCAGTTCGGACACCGGTTACATTTGGACTCTGTACCTCCGACATTGGTGACCTATTGTCCTCGACATTTTGATCTTGTTGGATGACATTTTGGACTACCATATCGGTGACCTATCAGATTCTATCTCGGTGACTTTCAGTGCTGTCTACCTGCCCCACCTCCTTCCTCTCTCCTTCCCCATTCATCTGTGTATGTTGTGTACGGGGCTGAGCACCTTCTTTGTATGGCTCAGACCCCACCATCTCACGATTGTATGTGTGTGGAGTGATGCTATGTGAGTCAGTTCGTTTATCAGACTTCCGCTGCATACATGCTCATCCTACATTGGTTGATCTTTGGTTCTGCCCATACTCATCGAAGTATGCAACAGGGTGAGTCCCATGCACTGCAATATCCACAGGCAAATCTCTGGGCAGGTACATATTTCCAGGGCGCTTTTTTTTGTGCGTCAACTGTTCAAAATATCAGGACACAACAGACAGATAATATCACAAATCAGCGCTACACATGTACCTGCAGTCTGACCTCTCACTTCCAGTTCCTTCACTGATGATTCACTAAGAATAAGTGGGACGGCGGGACTACACATGGACAAGACAGTCGTTCACACAAGATAACACTGCAGTCCTTTGGGTTCCCACAATTGTTATGAAAGTAAGTACTCCTAAAAAAAAAAAAAAAAAAAAAAAAACACAAGTACGAATCGCTTTTGCTATCACAGCAGACATTTGGCACCTTATTCTGAAACACTTACGACGACGTAACGTGTGCAGAGTGTCATGAGTTATGCAACTCAGACAGAGAAGCGGACAGCAACAGAAGCCTCTTCCTCAAAATTGGGCCAAGGGTATACTCCTTTTCACTTCAAATCAGCCTGTGGCTCCTCTCTGGAAAACTTTTTCAACTCATGCTCATCAACTACAATTCCTCTTGAAAAATAGCCACCACTATAAAATCCCCCATGGCAAAACTCACCCAAACTCTGAACAACCGTGCTCGTCGAAAGAAGACCAGCACTTCGCTTCCGAGAATTTTCGAAAGACATCCTCATCATCACCTGTTCCCCAAGAGCCTGGCATATAACCAATCAATCAAAGACACATGAACTCAGCCATCGCGCTGAACGCAGTCCCTATCCCGATATGCATCGCCATCTTCTCTCCCGCCTCCCCGCCGATGCCCTCCCGTCACCCACTCACCACTGCACACGAAACTTGCTTGGCATAACCAATCAATCAAGGACACACGAAATCAGCCATCGCTTTGAATACAGTTCCTATCCTGAAACATGCATCGCCATCTTCTCTCCCGCCTCGCCGCCGATGCCCTCCCTTCTCCCACTCGCTACTGCACACAAAACTTGCTTGGCATAACCAATCAGTCGAGAACACATGAAATCAGCCATCGCTTCAATACAGTTCCTATCCCGACATGCATCGCCATCTTCTCTCCCGCCTCCCCGCCGATGCCCTCCCTTCACCCACTCACTACTGCACACAAAACTTGCTTGGTTTTTAATGGGCTTCTTTCCACCAACGCATGCTGCAACAATGCCACTCTGCCACACCACACAAACCGATTCACAATGTTCCTTCGACACATGCTACACTTTCTTGCCGCTCGCTCCGTAACAACTCATGCGGCAATTGCCTCTCACTCTCGGTCTCCCATCCAACTACCCAAGCAACTTGCATAATGCTCCTCCTGTGAAATGGGTCGAAAGGGGTTCAAGACACTCACTCGTAAAAAAAGACGTGGATGAGAATCGGAACAGGAACACTGGAGGCGAGGTCATTTTTCACGTTCCGTACGTGTGCCTGTACAGTGGTGCCGGGAACTTCGCCATCACGTCAACCCATGGCTTCTCCAACAAAAACACAGAATCTTCTGTGAGATGGCCGAGAAATAGGCATCGATGATTCAAACGCACAACTGCAAAATTCTTGTTTTCTGCGACAGGCGGAGCACCATTGCCTGCATACCCTGCGTCTGGACGTCCAGCTGTCGGAGCAGAGTTCTGCTCTTTCACAATTTCACCCTTCTCCTGAAGTGGCTTACTCAGGTCGATCACACACATATGCCTGTGCATCATATTGCACAAAACCACAATCGCATTACGCCAGAACGTTAGACTCCCCTGGAATGTAATAAATCCTAAGTGCAATAGGAGGAAGAAATAACTTCAATGAACCTCGCAAGATTCCAATCACAATACAACATGCAAATTGAGAGCAATCAGATGGAATTCACACAAGCTTGACCGATGTCCACGATCAGTGCAAATTCCAAGTTCCACTCAAAGTACAATAATATGCAATTGGAAAAGTTTAAAAGTTCGACGATAAGCGGTTTCAACCGCTGCACCACGCCTCAGGTATGTACCCGGCTTCCTCCTCCTCCTGCTGCTTCTCTCCTCCCTCTCTCTGTCCTGAATGCTACTACGGTGCGCCTTGCTGATCTCGGGCGACTATATTTGGCAGGAGTCCCTGTATAGAGGTAGATAGCTACACTTGCAGGGGTCCCTGTATAGCCTTCAGAAATAGTTGTAGGTAGGTAGGTAGCGAAAGATGAAAGAATGTGAGATAAGCATAGCATAGTTAAAAAAAAAAAAAATGATCCCCACAAAACAGGTTCGCATCACTTGGAGACGAAGAGACAGCTTTTGAAACACAAGCTCAGGTTTGAGCTGGATTTGGCAAGCACAAGCTGAATCACATTTCCATGTTACATTCCTATTAAGGCCAATAGCACAGATATTCAGGTTTGAGCTGGATTTTGAGCCAGATATAAATGTCATGTAAGCCCGATACTCCTTATTGCCTATATTGGTTTGATCAACTATGGTTCAAGTCACATAAAGGAGCGAACACGCATGGCTCACAATTCTTTGTCACAAGGCCAATAGCACATTTCTGTTTTTTTTTTAAATTTATTTCGCTAGGTTGCTGGTAGTGCTTCCTTCGGCCTCACAAACTGATCTTCCACCTTGAATGGTGGTCTTTGCATCAATCTCAAATAACACAGGCCCGCTTGCTACATCCTCCGGCGGCCCACAGGAGAGGATACAGGAGAAGACAGAACATCTAGAGTTTCAAAGACCACACAAAGGGTTGACAGAAGTAGAAGGCATACAAGGGCGGGCTGGAAACGCAGAGGGGGACAGAGACTATAAGATAATTTCCTGTTTGGATTTTGTTAGTGCAATATCTAAATTTAGTTCTGGAATTTGCAAGTTGGACAAAGCGATCGCGGGTTAAGCTAGGGTTTAGGGTTTAAGGTTTAGTTTCGAAGAGAGGTTTTTGCATTTATTCTCGGGAAGTTTTTTTCATCGGGTCCCAGAGGGTCCCCTCAAAAGCATAACCTTCTTGGGTAATGCTCCCAGACCCGGTCTCTATGTGGAGACGCCTGCCCCTCTTTCTAGATTAAACACACACACACACACAGGCCCGCCTGCCGACTACATCGGTGACACTGACATTCCAGCACCCACTTCATTGCATGCACATTCAAGGATTGACGATGGAGTTCGGAGGGAAAATGGACTTCCGGGTGCTCACTTGGAGGTGTATGCGATTACTGCTGCAGAGTGGGCATTTGGCGGAACGGACAACCCCGTGATGCAACCGGGCATCTCAAGCAATCGACGTGGGAGCTTTTTCCCATTCATCCGTGACCAGTTAGCAAGACATCTTGCCTCAACGTCCAGCACATGGATCTTGTTCATCGCCGTCGCCAGGATCAGTGCTCCGGAGCCCGGATGGAATACGAGGGCAGTTACGAGAGAACCATCTGGAGATGTCGTCGACCAGTGATGTCTGGAAACCGCGACACAAAAACAAGTCAGGACAACAACACATCCTCAATACATGCGACACTTCCAAAAAGAAGTCAAAGAACCCTTTGACAAAGGGGTCACCAACATAACAGGAATGCTAAACCGACCGGGACACCAAAACAAGTCAGGACAACAACGCATCGTCAATACATGCGACACTGCCAAAACGAAGTCAAAGAACTCTTTGACAAAGGGGTCACTAACACAACAGGAATGCTAAGCCGATCCGTCAACATAAGCTAACACATCACCAACATGGCATGGCAAGGCAGGATGCATTTCAGCCAACTGCACAAAAAACCGGGTCCTGCCTATGGCCGCTTCAAGCGCAATCATTTTCTTTTGGGAGGAATCTGTAATGTGCTCCCCTTCAAGGCTCAGACTATCGACCAGGTTTGACTTCGGCAGGATCTAAATGGTCAAAATCTATAGATCTCATTGGTGACAAAAATGTCCCTTGCCTTGCTAGCCTCCTCCACATCCCCATCTCAGTTCATTCTTAACGTTTCTTCTTTACCGTGCACGCTACGTCATGTCATTCTTAATGTTTCTTTTTTGCGGTGCCCCACCTAGTTCTGCATTAGTCACTGAATTCTGCAGTGGTCACTGAAGCAAGAGACCAATACAGCTTCATTTAAACCACCAGCACATCCGAGACTTCCTTTGCTGAGGTGGATTCCCCCTGCACGCCAAGCTTTGTGGAAACGATGCCTTTTCTTTTCTTTTATGGCCGGAGGCAAAATCCATATTCATCCAGTAGCCACTGCCCAAGCCTCTGATATTTTCGGATTGGCTCCATTTCGATTCTCGAGTTTGCATGGAAGATGTATTGGTGGTTGACCTACACAACAAATGTTAGATTCTCCAATGACCTTTGCTAGTTACAATCTGTGTAGCACAGCGTTCGTGTTCGCGGGCGAACGCGAACGCATGAGAAAATGGAGTGCACACAAACGTGATTCTTTAAAATTATTTATAGTTTTACTTTTTGTTTTAGACCTTCATTAGATGGATAGATAGAGATAGATAGACAGATAGACAGATAGATAGATAGATAGAGATAGAGATAGATAGATAGATAGATAGAGAGAGAGAGAAAGAGAGAAACGGCGTGCGCGCACGCGTGGGGAGAGAGAGAGAGAGAGGGTGCCGGCCACTACTCTCCAAATCTGCAAAATGAGAATGAATCTTCCATCAGAATGCCGGAACAGTCATTCTCATTTTGCGCATTTGGAGAGCAGCCAGTGCAACCCGCTACTTTCCATACGTGGAAAATGAGAATTAATCTACCGCAAGAACGTGAAAAGATTCATTCTCGTTTTTCACACTTGGAGAGTAACGGACCCTCTACTCTCCATACTCCACATACATGCAAAATGAGAATGGAGCTTCCGCAGGAACAGAAGCAGATTCTTTCTCCTTTTGCACATTCAGAGAGTAGTGGGCTGCACGCCCCCCCCCTCTCTCTCTCTCTGTCTCTCTCTCGTAAGAATGAAGCTTCTGCAGAAACACAAGAAGATTCTTTCTCTTTTTGCACATTCGGAGAATAGTGGGCTGCACGCCCCCTCTCTCTTTCTCTCTCTCTCTCTCTCTCTGTCTCTGTCTCTCTCTCTCTCCCCCCCCCCCCCCCCCCCCCTCTCTCTCTCCCCCCCCCCCTCTCTCTCTCTCTCTCTCTCTCTCTCTCTCTCTCTCTCTCTCTCTCTGTCACTCCGACCCCGCCATGCCTGTCACCCCATTGTCCCCGAAGACCCCCCCCCAGCCCCTTCACATCCCTTTGGAGAACTTGTTCCCAAACGACAAATTCATGTTCGCGTGAACGCATTTCAGATCCGTTCTAACGCCCCAACACGTTCGGGATCCATTCGTGCGAACGCCCGAACATGTTCGGGTGTTCGCAAAATTGCCAAACGTGTTCGAAATGCTACACAGGTTACATTTTAGTCTTTCAGCTGTGCCCCTTTTTTTTATATTCCTCCAAATTCACAACGTGCTAGGCTTTCGCACTGAAGCGAGAGCAACCTATCAGCCTATCGTCCGCACCACAAAGACCCTCAGTTGGAATTTCCAATAACTGCATTGGCCTTCTCAAGTCAAGAAGGCCCTTTGCATAAGGACGGACAAAGCTCATCATCGAGTCAACCGGCGGCACGTGTATCCTGATCACTTCTACGACCTCCAAGGTCGAAAAAATCAAGCCCGGATGAAATATAATAACATAAATAATCTGGCTCCTCTTCCCCCATGATTTTTCATTCCCATAACCCATTTCGAGTTGCTTCGCCACTTCTTGTTGCCAGCTTTTCATAAGCTCCATGAAGGGCCGAAAAGAAAACACGTACCAAGGCCTTGCAATGATAAGCACAGTTGCAGTCTGGTATTTCGTCCTTTTCTGAGAGATTGCTCTCTTCACCTGATTTGCTGCGATTTCCTAATCTGAGTCTCTTTCATTGTGTTGCCTGTGTCCGAAAGTCCATCTGATGCTCGATGAGTCTGAGTCTGTCCCCGGGCTGTGTTCCCGAGTCATGGGAATGTAGAACAGAAATCGGTGCAATTACAGGGGTAGGAACCAAAAATGAACGGCAGGCAGACTTAGGGTAGTTAGAGAACGGACAGAACAGATGTAGAATTTGTAAGGCACCTGGGAGGCACATTCCAATTACTCTGCATAGGCCAGAACCTTTGGCAGGCGAAATGATTAATCTGTATGTAGACACAATAAGATCAAGGAAAGGACCAGCAGGTAGGATTACAGTCCGCAATAATTTTCCCACCAAGAGGAGGAGGAAACAGTTAGGCCAGGTAGCACAGCCGGCACGACCAGGAGTAGGCCTAGCTAGGAGGCACGAGGCAAGAGATGTATATCATTCAGTGCAACTAGTCCAGGCATTCACCCAGCAGTCGATGCACTTGCCCTGCCCTAGGGGAGAGAGGCAGAGCATAGGGTGGAAGGAGAAGCTGAGGCTGATCAAGAACACCTCCATGGCTAGCTATGGAGCATGGGTCCTAGTAGGTAGAGGAGAAAGAAGGCCTAGGCTAGGGAGGACTTCAAGTTAGGCTATGGAGATAGGTCGCAGAAAAGACAAGAGGTAGATTAGGGATGAAGGAGGGAGGCTACAGAAAGACTAACCTTTGGCTATGGCAGACCTTCACCTCAAGAAGGCGGCATTGAGGTTCCAGCTGGGTATATAACCTTCGGCCATGGCAGACCTTCACCTCACGAGGCGCCATTGGGGTTCCAGCCGGGTATGGACACTGTCAGGGAGTGTGGCTATGAGAGCAAAAGTTGAGCGAGGGTTGGTAGTAGTGTGTTGTGTTGTCCTCTCCACAGCCGTGCTAAGCAAGTACGCTTAGGAGTATTGCATTGTTCTCTGCACATCCATGCTAGGCATGGATGAACCGCCAGCGATGGCAATAGGGAGCTCCTTGAGTATTGCATTGTTCTCTGCACATCCATGCTAGGCATCAAATATTACGTTCAATTGGCAGAAAGAGGAAATAATGTGAGGGAGATGTCATTGGTTCAATCTTTGCTCCTTCTGGGCGGAGTACTACGGTGGATGCGGAAGAGAGGTTGCCCCTGGATGAGTCCTGGTGGCAAAACGCGTCCGGGAACGTACGCATTGAGCGGATGTCCGTGTAGGTGCTCGACTGCTCATCCTTGAGACATGAACACATAGCGATTGGCCTCGCTGTTTCAATTCAATTCAATCCTTCTTCTTCTTCTTTCTTTCTTTCTTTCTTTCTTTCTTTCTTTTGCTGAGTTGTCCTTTCAAAGTCGTCTTGCATCATGAAGGAAAAGGTATACATGCAACCTACCCACTCCAGGAATGATTCACACACGACATCAATGCATCAGTCTTTCCTTTTCTTTGGGAACTAAAAGAGTATCGAGTTTACAGCGCTCTTTTTGTAATGTACCCAGGACGCAGAGATCAGGGCAGCCTGCATCTCATTCTCCGGAGAGCATGCCAACTACTGTAGGGACTTGAATAGAAACACCAGGGTCGTACCTGAGAGTTTCCAAATTATACACATTCACCCTTCCCGACGCGTTGACTGCAGCAATCCATTGTCCATCTTGGCTTGTAGACAGCAGGCACACAGGAGATCTCTCATCTCCATGATCTGCTGCAAACTGCGACTGGCTAAGTTTCTGTAGCAGTGAGGGCTGATTCACATCCACCACCTGAACACAGAGAGAGGCAAACATAAACCGAACAAAAAATATACAAGAAAAAAATATACAAGAAAAAAATATACAAGAAAAAAATATACAAGAAACGGTCAGTCGGTTGGGTAGTCCTGGCATAAAAAGGCATGGAATTCCTTAACAGAGTCAGTGAGAAAAACATGGAAATTATGAAAAAAGCCAAAAAAAGACTATGTTATGCAGAAAAATAAACTGAACAACTTCTGCCTCAGGGTTTCATCGAAATTCTTTACCAAATTTAAAACAAGTTAAAACTTGAAAATCATTTTCATTTCTTTATTTTTTTTATGTTTTTTTGCCCCGCCCGGGCAAGTGGCCCCGGGTCACTCTGGTAGCCTAGGGAAAAAGAGAGAAACATGGAAAAACCCTGCACAAGGTCAGATATATTCCAGTAGGAACCTCAGCAGAAGTGTAGCCGCTACCTTCACTCTACTGTACTCAACTGTCAAAAATTCCCCTCAAAATCACTTATAAAGTTATAGCAGACAATGAAGGTCCCCGAATTGTATATCCTCTTTTTGCACAAGATACTGAGGATGTGCAATGAGGATCTTCAATCAATAAACAACTGGATTGTTTGGAGTCTTTACAAGTTTGGACCCTACTTTGACCGGCATCTATTGACTTTCCAAGCATCATCAACTGGACGGGATCAGAAACGTGATGTCAAAACGGCTACCGTCTTCACCCGAAAATAACACCTGGGTGTTGCATTCAACTTACCATTAAGAACTCGAGACTTATGTTTTTACTCGCTTTTTTTCGAGTAAGACTCCTCTTTGAATATAACGCCTGGGCATTCTATTTGAATGTGGCATGGGCAGAGTGCCTTGTAGAGAGAGTATACATGGGTTTTAAAGGGGGTTGAAAGGGGTTCAACTTCCAAGGGGCAAGTTCCGGTCTGATTTTGTGTTTCCTTTTTCATTTCTGAATTCTGAAGTGACCCTCAGCCAAAAGTTGGTTGCGTAGCAATTCTAGACCACACATTCTTTTACAGATTTTTCGATTCTCTTTTTTTCTATTTTTTTACCCTCTGCCCTCCCCCCTTCCCCATCTCTCTCTCTCTCTCTCTCTCTCTCTCTCTCTCTCTCTCTCTCTCTCTCTCTCTCTCTCTCACACACACACACACACACACACACACACACACACACACACGTGCGCGCAAACGAAGTGATAAAAAGGACCAGCTGGTGCCAGGGTGGTTCTTTTACGACAGGCCCTCTTTTCACGGGGCACAGCGATCCAGGCTGCCAACGGTCCTACCAAACCGATGGCTCGGATCTTCCCTCGATCTGAAGACTGATCACACAACGATCCAGGCCATCTGCCCTGCCGGACGGCCTGGATTGACGGGCGATCTTAAAGTCTTGAAGTCTTAAGATCACGCAAAAATCCGGACCATCGGGATGGTAGGACCACAGGCGGCCTGGATCGCCCAGCTCCCACATTAGCAATTTCTATAAGTGTACGAATCAAGCCTGGGGGGTATAAACGAATACTAGGCCCGGTCCGCCGTGCGCTGTACTCGTATTCGACGCCTGGGTAAAGACGATAGTGATGCACAGTGGAGTCCTTAGAATCTTCACAAGGCACATATCACAAACGGAACTGGGAGGCTTTAAGTAAGCAAAATGAGGGCTCGGCTGAAAGAGAGTGAACTGTGGAAGTTGGCAAGAATATGGTGGCAAACGTCACTGAAGCACTGCACAATGATAGCACTGACACCAATACAGCACTGCGGAATGATAGCACTGACACCAATACAGCATTGCGGAGTGATAGCACTGACACCAATATAGCACTGCAGAGTGATAGCAATGACACTGACACAGCACTGCGGAATGATAGCACTGACACCAATACAGCACTGCCGAATGAGAGCAATAACATCCAGAAGCCATGTTCTGTTTTCATCAGATTTCTGTCCAGAAAGCCAAAAATCCATCCAGAGGCAGCATAACAAAGGTAAACTAATCCTCAGACTCCACCTTGCACGACATTTGAGAAACGACCAAATGTACCCACTCCAGTGAAGAACCAAACCCTCTCTTAATAATTTCAGACATACGCGGAAGGGGTTCAGTATTCAGTCTGATAAGTCATTGCACTGATACAGTATAATTCCCATACGCCTGCATCATTCCCTTGCATTTTCTCCATCATCACCTCCAAAACACACACCGTCAGATGAACATAGACTGGGGCCGAGCATAGCTCTCAGGCTAGCATAGGTGGGAGCCAGGGGTGCCGTAACCATTCCGGAGGGCAGGGTTCAGTGGTTGCCCCGAGTGTAGTTCACAGACAAGCCTAGGCAGGGGCAAGGGGTGGTACATCCTTCCGGTAATCAGATAGCTCCTCCCCATCCAGCCGTGATGGGGAGGAGAATGGGTGAGTGCAAAATTGTAACTTTTCCGAATTGCCAGGATATGGAACCGGAGTGATGCTCCCCATAATAGAACGGAGCTTCTTTAGGTAAAAGGAAAAAAATAAAACACAAACTTCAAAAAAGTGGCTTTAGCCCAAAAAAAAAAAAAAACATGATCCTATGTGTGTCAGTCCGCCAGCAAAGCAGACACCAGATATCTCCCACGTGAGGCCAGTTTATGATCGATCCAACATTTCTCCCCCCTTTCTAACACATCCCTGCACATGGGCATGGGATAGGTTTCTGACAATATATCCGCGAAATCAAGCAGGACGCCCAACGCTTCATGACAAGCCAGACCCGGCAAATTGTGCTGTGCAGATTGACCATACGCTCATTCAGCTCTTGTTCAGTTTATCGACTGTAGACTGCGAAACATCAGTGCAACATATTCAGCATTGGTACAACCAAAGAAAATCCACAAAAATAGACTTCCCAAGAAACTACCACAGAACAACAAACGACCTGCACTTCCTTACGAGATAAAGAGACAATTTTCCTGTTTTGCTCCTCTGACAGAGAGTATTCCCTTAGCCAAGCCTTGAAAAGGACACGAGAATTCTGGACCATGTTATCCCAACCGACACATCGACACTGGGCTGTGCCATGGACACTTTCCATTTTTCAACGCCTGCATACAAACATCATTTTCAATGCCTGCATACAAACATCACGTGCCGACAGAGAAATGAAATGCACAGTGACAGTTTTTTGTATGATAACAAGGCTTGCATCCAGACAACCTCTAAGCATCTGTGTAATAGACTGGCATCATAAGCCAACATACAAACGAGCAGGCAGCTCCAAAGAAAATAACTCACGTTTCCGTGTGGAGTAGACTGGGGAAAGAAAAAAAAAAAAAAAAAAAGAAGGGCCGAGAGAAAGAAAAGAGTTTTGACCAGAGATTACAAAGGGTTTTGAAACACTCATTACCAGGATAGACCCGCCTGCAGTGGCAAGCACGAGCCTTGAGGAATCCGCGCTGAAAACTATTTTCTGTGCCGGCAGAAGAGTCACTGGCAACCTGCGTTTCATGATAACCATAGGAGCTTCCATTCCACCTTGTGAAGCCCTCTTTTCTAATCGAAACAACCTGACCTTCACCCTGTCAGAGAAGGCAACGTGTCTGCCATCAGGAGAAAGAGAGCTGCACACAATATGATCACTTCCACGAGACTTTATCCTCGCCACCAACCGCGGAGGAATTCCATTGGCCCGTATTCTCTGGTCGCCAGCTTCACCACCATATCCAATCTTTCCATCAATACCATCATTGGCACCATCTTCTCGCACCACCCCATTACCACTGCTTACGACAAGCGCTTCTCTGCCTATGTCCCTGTCCGACCCCACATTATCCATATCACTGCGGTCATCTGCCACACTACCAGGGCTGGCAGTCACAGAACGAGCCCTGTTCTCCACCAACTCCCGTAAGGACATTCTACTGCCACCTCTCACCTCCCAGATATCAACCCACTCCTTGTGCTGTGATATGAGCATTGGATGTGTACGCATAGCTCCGGCTACCATTTGTATCACTGGTGGCTCTGGTACTGGACAGATGCTAAAAGGTGCAAATGAGAGAAAGGCATTTGCTGGATAAATCCGCAGCTCCGTGTCATTACCACCAGACATCAGCATTGTTGCACCCGTGCAAGATCGACTGTCAACAGGATGGGGCATGGAGAGCTTCCTTTTCAGATTGCGCGCACTTTCGATCCCGCCTTGCTTTCCAATACCTGCCACATTCCATGAGCGATACAATTTACAGAAGCAAGCAATAGTCAGGTACCCTGAGCTCACTTCACTTGCCTTCTACGTAAACCCCATCGGCTGACAGACAACACTGCGACAGGCCACCTCATTACCCGGCTGCATAATACAACACAGACACACACAAAAAAAAAAAAACAGAGAGTGCACAAGAACAAACGTGAGATCTAATACCACATAGACTTAAGCTTACGACCCACAAAACCGTCTATGGGGAAAGGGTAGGAACGAGAGTGGCACGTGGGGAGCATCCTAAGAACCTCACAGCAGCACTCCCATGCAGAGGTCTCCACCGCCAGAAGCAACACTGGTGTTCAAGAGTTCTGGGGATAGCTGCATGTGGTATGTGGAAGGACAAAGTGCAGCGACAGAACAGGGGGTGAGAGCACAGGTCAGGGTTTGGGTTGGTCACTCTTTCCGAGTCACGAAAAGAAGACACATTTTGGCTCAAAAGCAATGGACGACCTACTTCAAGAGAGCCTTCAGACCTTATTACGAACTTCAAGTCATCACGTTACGCTTCCTGCACAGGTCATTGTTTCACATTCTGGCTCTGGCTTCCCGTTGAAGTTATAGCTTAGGAAGCAGGTCCCATCTTCCCATACACTCGTGACCCACAATCATCATGGCGATCATCATGAGAGAAGATGACGAAGAACATAGGAAAATGAAGGACATCAAGGAGAAGGAGACGGAGAAGGAGCAGGAGGAAGAGGAGGAGCAGAGGGGAGGAAGAAGCGAAAGAAGAAGGAGAAAGAAGAAGGGAGGAAGGAGGAGCAGAAGAAAAAGGAAAGAGAAGAAGAGAAAGAAGAAGAAAAAGTGCAACTCATAAATAAAAAAAGGCCACCTCAAAGAAGACCAGCACCGTCTTCACCCAAATGGAACGCCCGGTCATTATCACTGTCTCGAGACAGGAAGGTGTCCCGAATGCTGCTGCATCTATTCAGGGTGAAAACGGTAGGCATCTACCACCTCTCGCTGGGAGACCAGACCAACAGCGATGAAGCCCTGGCTCTAGAAAATTACATGGGCCATTAGCAAACGCCCTCAGCCCTGCAGCATGCAACTCAGTATCCAATGTTATGTTGGAAAGAAAGAGACTGGAAAACCTTCTCACCAGCTCGTGAATGTGGAACAACGAATACTGCAAGAGCTCGTATGTCATGAGTGTGCGATCGGCGGCCCCCCACATACACCCAGTTCTTGAACTGATCGCCTTTGTCTTCAGAGTATCTTTCCGACTTCTCATCCTGCACCTCGTTGCTAATCTCTTGATATATAACTACCTGCAGCCACATCCATGTACACAATATCCAACCAGTTACCCAACTGCTCAGGAGAATCGTGCACTTCACATCTAACAGCTAGCCAGTTCCAGTACTTTTTACTCGCCTCCACCGCCAATCAAACTCAAGTTATTATCTGGTCAATCCGGCTATCGAGAGGATTCACTGTAATGTCGCTGTCCATTGCATCACTGCCCACATCAGGACTAGGTTTGTGTGGGTCGGACACAAGTGCGCTAAACTCCGTATAACGCTGAACAAGCACCCGCAGTTCATTGTGAGACCATAGGTAGGATGGAACATTGATATCGTGCACACCTTTGGGCGCATTGATATCCCGAGTTGCTGATAAGACACTTCCAATCCCTTAACCATCTCTCTGACTTTTGTCAGTCACCATGCAAAATGCTCATGGAGTGCCGCCAGGAAAGTGTCAAGTGTCCTTCCCATTCATTCCACTAGGAAAGCCGTACGACTTCCACAAGAGAAGTGGTTTAATGTAAGCAATTTCCGAAATGATGGATCTTTTTGGACCAAATGATCCACTCCAACCCACATGAACATTTCAGCCTCCAGAGAGCATTGTGATCAATCTCCAGCAATCCACTGCTATATTCCCAATAGTTTATCAAAATATAATACTCCCACCTTCAGAGATTGTCTCTCCACCTTCATAGCCAAATGCAGGGTAAGACTTTCCTGTAAGATTCTAAATGGACTCTATAACAGCAGTTAACTACACATCCGTTTGATTGCTTGCCGGCTTCAGCAGATCAACCAAATGTACTGTCGTTAAGAACATCTACACTGCCAAAAAACTATTCTCCATCATTAGTACTTAAAACACAAAACCATATGGCACACATGAGGTAACTGAAATCACAACAGAGTTCCGTTGATTCACACAGACACCTTCATTTTTTGCCCCCACCTCCCCCCCCAAAAAAAGAGGCGTGCAACACACCTGTCCGTCAATACCCGCTGCAAAGACAGATGTATGAGATGGCGTAGCAGCAAGAGCTAGAACATCGGCCTGATGCCGTCTATGACAATGAAGAAGAGTACCCATTTTGCCATCCCAGAATTGAGTGCTTCCTGTTGAGTCACCGCTCACCAGCACGCCACTCCTGCAATGATGGCAAACATGAAGAAACAAAGCACTCCAGTCTCAGCAATGCGCTCATGCCAACTTTGCCAGTCCATTCTCAGAGACAACAGCTGGTCTCCAGATTGCCTGAAATTCCCATTGCCAGGCTGTGCGTGTGGGTAGCAGGTGCTGGCGATGGTGGTCTTCGGGTACACGGCATGCAGAGGGAGACAATGTGTGATGGGGGAGGAGAGAGAACGTACCTTGTGCATGCTGGAGGTCTGCATTGGTGATGACGTCACATACATTGGTTTTAAACTTCAATGTGATCTGGTTGCATGAACGTAGATAGGTGCAGATAGGCTGGGCGCTGGGCGCCATACAGTAGGAGTGACATCGGATACTGTGTTGGTGCGGCCAGAAAGCGTCGACATCAACATCGACATTCGAGTTCATTGTATTCCTCTTATGTGGATGGTATCTTGGTGCATTGTGCTCTCTGCTTGGTACATGACTATCTGTGCTACTTCGTGATTTTCCAATTGGGATTTCTGTCTATTGCTCTCGCCCATATTCCTTGCAATATGCTTTCTATTCGAATAAAACGCATATGCCTTCTATTTGAATTCCACGAAGAGAAAAATGTTGTATTCAAATAGAACATTAGTTAAGCACCTGCTCTGTTCTTGCCCTGGCAACAGCTACCACACTCACCAGATGTGCAGAGATACACAGCCATATTTTGTCTTTTACGACATGCAGTGACCCCAAGAAGTGACTGAACCAACAAACAAAAGATAACAGCCTTCTAGCCACGATTAACAAGATGTGAAGAATGAGAGTGAATCTTCTGCTAGAACATGGAAAGATACACATCCATGTCGTCTTTTAGAGATGTAGTGAGCCGTGGCTCGACAAGAAACACAAGTGCGCTGTGGCTCAACAAGAAGCGACAGAAAAATAGAAAACAAGAAGAAACGCGAGAAGAGAGGACTCACCTCTCTCTCCCTCTCTCTCTCTCTCTCTGCGTGTGTGTGTGTGTGTGTGTGTGTGTGTGTGTGTGTGTGTAACCTGCCCTTTGCACACCGCCCTGTCTGACAACCAAGAAAGTGGCAGTGCGGCCAAGAGAGTGGAAGCCTGACGTCAGGAGGGATACTACACACATCCCTCCACCACTCACCAGAGCCTAGCTCCACAACTCACCAAGAGCACAAAAGACAGAAAGCACAGCGTTGTATCTTTCCATGTTCTAGTGGAAGTTTCATTCTCATTTTGCGCATTTGCTCAAGAGTGGAGCGAGGCCCCAAGTGGGAGAACATGGGAAGGCACAACGCGGCATGTTTTATTTCCATTTCGTTCAATGCTCCAAAGCCCTCCGCCACACTCCAGAACTGAGCCTACTCAGCCTGGACTTGACCCTTTTCTGTCAGTAAGGTTGCTCTTGTCAACTCGAATAAAAAGCATTTGCGAATTAAACGAATACTCCACCACGGTATGCATTGTATTCATTTACAACGGATACGCCTTATGTTCAGGGGAAGACGGTAGTCATGTCAGTGCAGATTTCCTACGAGTTCCAGAGTCTTCTCAGGATCTGTAGGACCAACTGCTGACCCCTGAACTTTGGTTTGGTAAAAAGCTATGTCCCTAAGATGTTGCACCTCTGGTTCTGCACCATCCTTTGAGGGGTCTGCATGCCAAAAGTCTCTGACTGAGACGCAATTGACTTGCAGTAACAGGGTTATCTTTGTAATTCTTATTAATTGGGACCTAACCTGTGACTGTGACGAGGCATAGTTCCTACGGGCACTCTTCTTTAATTTCTTCAAGTCCAGGCCCGTACAAGGTTTTTCACAGCAGTCTAGAAGCGGTACCGTAGACTGAAATTTCAGGCCCGTTCTGATTGGGGAGGTCGTAGGGTTCGGTAGGCCATGGTGTAGAGACTAGAAATAGTTTACGGCATCGGTTGAGGTCAGGTTCTCTTGGGTTCAGACTGTTAGGGGAATGCTGCCGGTTGGGAAGTGAGCACTGCGGCTGTGTGGCATACTGCATAGCCACACGGGCCCTACAGGGCCCGTCCCGGACATTCAGCCTAAAAGCCTAAAACTTAGGGCTTACAGGCCCCGTTCATTTCAGCCTGGATGCTGAAAAACGAGGGCCTGCAGGCCCTACCTCGTTTCAGCCTATTTCTGGGTCTTTTCAGACCCAGAGTTTTCAGCCTGAAACGGAGGGCCATTTTGAGGCCCTCATTGTTTCGACCTGCTCCTAAGACTCAGGCACGGAAACAGGGATGCGGAACAGGCCCAAAATAGCCTGTTCCTCACGTACTCGAGCAGGAGTTGCAGCTGCAGCCCCTGCCTCCCTTCGGCAGGCTCAAGAGGCACACCCGTAGTACATAGGAGGTTCCCATGCACTTCACGGGAAGGTAGAGTCAGTAGGCAGAGGTAGTCTTCAGGATTCGGCCGCAGCACTCATGAGCAGCGCTGCAGTAGTCTTCAGCGCTAGGCAGTAGTGGTAGCGCTAGCTGTAGTCTTCGGCGCTGGGCGCCATAGCTGTAGCTGTAGTCTTCAGCGCTGGGCGCTGGTAGGTAGTAGATCGTAGAGTGGAGAGAGACTGGCGGAGGCCAGTGTTACTTACCTGTGGCGCCATCGCTCCAGCTCCAGCTTCGTGGTACCTGCATCAAGGCGCCAA